AACATTGAAGTTGAAATGTTATTGAAGAAAAAAAAAACTTTTAGTATTTGTGCGTATATTAATATTTATGTATTTGTGTATGTAGGTTTATAATTAGTGGTAAAAGGTTATGTATTAAAGTTGGAAAATATGTTGTAAGTAATATGCGAATATTATATTTGTTGAATTTTGCAAAGGTGAATCTTGGAATAAAGTTTAGTAAGAGTCTGTCTCCTGTTATAGTAATGACCAACATCCTTGTATTGGTATTGCTAGAATTAGATACAATTACGGGTTATCTGATCATAACTGGGTAACATTAATGGTATGATCAGTGATGCATGAATTAATTTATAGTCTAATTGTATATATTGCATAATATGTATGATCTAAACAAATATATATTCAGAGATAATCTTGTATTTAAGCAGAGTGATCTCTAATACTAATAAAGAATACAAGTTTGGCTTTATGAAAAATATTTTTAAGAAATAAACTAAGTAGATACCCTGGTAGTTATTAAAGTGTTGAATCAATTTGTGTGAAAAGTAAGAACTCCAAAGTGCCACTATTAAAGCTAGATTTTTAAGTAGAATATCCCTATTTGTTAACCTGTACAATAGTAATAGTAGTGGCATTAGCTTACAAATACTTGTTCTCAGACTCAATATAAGTTACTGAAGCTTAGATTAGCTGAATTGTAAGTACAGAAAGCTCTAATAGGTTTACTCTAAAAATAAATTGTTCTAAAGTCATAACAAATATTAGTTTAAGATTATATATATAGAAATATATATATGGTTGATACAAAACTGATACTGTAAAAGTAATCTGTTAAGTATAAATAAAAGTACTGCACAATTAATATACTATAAACTTAGTTATGTATTAACATTAATATTGTAACTTTTGCTATATTAATTTGCGAAAAACTTTTGTTAATATAAAATGTATATATATTTTCTAATCATTATATTTTTAATGCTATAAACCAAGTTAAAAGGATGTTAGTAATATCACTATTATTGTTTGCAATTAAAAACAAGTATAAAACAGAAAAACCTGCTCTATTAGCAATTATTATAATATTGTATAACTTATAATTAAGCTTATTAGTATTATATATTGTATCTGCTATAATATCTATTAACAAAGCTAATAGAACTATATCAATAAATAGAGTTATAAAGGCAAAGCCAAAATTTTAAAAAAGATAAGTATAAAGAAAAGCAAAAAAGGAATCAATATAAAAAATGAAAACATAGTATTTCTGTAATAACAAGTATTACTACAATTGAATCATTAATTAAGCACTATTTGAGATCAAATATTCTATATTTTTTAGTAAAGCAGATGAAAGAAGAATTGTATTATACTGTTAGTCAATCTTCAATTGAAGAAGTTAAATTATCTGCTAATAATAAATCTATATTAATTGGGAATATTGAAGACAGTGTAAAAAATTTAAATTTGAAATTATATGTGTAAAGCATATATAAATTTAAATTTAATGTGCGTAATATCTTTTAATATTTAAAAATATAAATCTTTATTTTACTAATTTTATTAAATAATTATATTATATAAAGACTAAAACTAGAAGCTAAAAAGGTTATTAACAATTTTTTAAAAGCTGTTTTTCAAAAAATATAATATTGACTAAATTAGCTAGTATTATATCTAATGCTAGCTAAATTTGTTAAGATTGTGTTATTTTTTAAAAATGGCTTGAATAAATAAGATTTTTCAAACTTTTATTTATTTCAAAATATGCTATTTATTTATTAACTTTGAAATCTTCTATTAATCAAAATATATAAAATAATTACCTAAAAAAATTTATTATATATAGATTGAAAAATACTAAGAATTTTAATTTTTAGTCTGAATTTAAATTTTGCACTCTTTTAAATACTAATAATCAAAAGCTTTTTCAAAATTAAATAAATTAATAGGTGGATCATTTAAAACTATCATCAAATAATCATTAAGTATATTAATGTTTATTTGATTACGAAGATGAGTTTTTATAAGATTTTGTCAGAAAAAACTCTTTCAACAGTTGTATTTGTAACAGGAATAATTAAAGCAATTTGTATTAAAGTTGAAGTAGAGAAAAATCATAAAGAAAAGAAGTTTTTAAAAAAATAAGATTCTATGCATCAATAAATTTAATTAATCAATAATTTTTAAGAAAAAATTTAACCATTTCCTATTTGCTAATTAATACTCTATTATTGATTAATGGTTTAAATTCTTTACTATTAATCATTTTAGAAGTTCTATAAAAATTACTAAGAATTTTAATTTTTTCATTACTATAATTAGCTAGATCACTATTTAATTTTAGTAATTGCTCTGGATCAAATATTCCTAATACATTATATAATTCTTGGTTTGAAAAATAATTATTAAGACACTCTATAGTCGTTTGAGCAAAATTAGAAATAAATATAGGAAGTTTATAAATATTTAAATTATTATTTGCAATAAATTGAGCTTAAATTGCATCAATTATCATAGTAATATGTCATTGAATATCAACAAATAAGATATAATCTGATTGAAATATGTATATTAATTTTTCTATTATAAAAAAATAATTAGCTAAAAACATTGTTGCAATTTTAAATTTTTGATTAATATTAGCTAATAAAGAAGCAGCTTGCTGATTATTTGTCACTTCTTCTAGTAAAGCCCTTTTAATAGATTCCAAATATTGATAAAAGTTATGAATAATATTTAAAAATAGAGTCAATGTGTAGATATAATGTTTAATAATACTAGCTTTGGTTCTTCTAAATTATGTTGTACTATTTTTAGTATTAATAATCTTTTATAAAGACTACTAAAATATAAATAGATTCCTTTAACTATAGTATCATATGTTTTAAAATAAGCAACTTGTTCTGCAGCATCTTGACTAGCAAGATGTAATCGATATGCAATACAATAATTTTTAGTAATATATGGATTGTATTTTTTAAGATAAGCTGCAACACCAGTATGTTGCCCAAGTATTGTACTTGCTCTATCACTTCCAAAATGAGTTGGATTTTCAATATTAAATAACTTAGCAATTATAAATCTTTTAAGATTATTAGTTATTGATTCTGCATTACAATTATCAAGTTCAATTATTCCAAAATATCACAAAACTGATATATTTTGAGTAAGGTATTTAGTCACAATTACAAGATGTTTAGCAGTAAATAAAGTACTTTTATCAATTAAAATACTCCAATTTTTTGATAATATTAACTCTTGAATAATTTCATACTTTATAACAAATACAATTGATGCAAGAAATACTCATTCTGAAATTAGATTTTCTTATAAAGCATATTCATACTGATGCTGATTAAATATTTTATTATTAATAGACTTTAATATAATTGGATTGTTCTCAAAATAAAGTTCTTTATGATTAATAAATTGCAAATTTTCTAATTGACACAAAGCGAGATATTGGTTCATAGCTTAATTACTTTTAGAAAGATAATAAACATTTTTTATTAATGATATTATCTTTAATTTTTGGTCATTAAGTTATTGAGTAAACTCTTAAATAATTGTAGTTTGTTGATTGTCTTGAAAAATTGGTGCTTTCTGATAATTAACAGTAATAAGATGATATTCAAAAGTTTGTTTTCGTAAAGACTGTGTGCTTTCAGTAAATTGATTAATCTTTTTTGCTGCCTTACACCAAGTACAAAATACTGTGACCACATAATCATTATCTTCAGATTTTTCAAGCCAAGAATAAACTTTTGATAAATTAGAATTCCAAGTAATATGAATTTTTTTCTTTTAATTGCTTTTACTAGATTTATTATTATTTATATTGCTTTGATCTGAAATTTTAGAACTCAGATAAATTATAAATTTATTTATTGTTAAAGATTGGAAGTTTAAAACTTTAAAGTATAAACTAATTTAAATAATTATATAGAATTTTATTGATAATAGTTTTATTAATAAACTTGAAAAACTTTAAACTTTACTTAACTACTATATGAAAAATATAAGTATCATATTTACTTTTTTTAATCTTTTTATAAAAAATTTTTTATATACTTATACACAAAACTAACTAACATATTCTACTTTTTAAGTTTCATTTTACTATTAATACTATTTTAATTATTCTCTTGTTTCATATATAAATTTTATTTTTTTATTGTTATTTAATTGTTTTTTAGTACATATATAAGTTTTACTGTTATTATCACATTACTGATTTTAATTTTTTTAAAGTTTATATGAAATTACTTATCTATTTTTTTTTTTAATTTGGCGGTTCTGCTTATTACTTTTTATTGGGAAGTACCAGAACTTATATCAACAGGAAGATACAATTTTCTATACTATATTCCACATGAGTAAAAATCAACTTGAGCTAAGCTTAGAGAATGACCCACCTAGCAGCAATTTAGCCCTAGCAGCTGCATGCTTCATCAAAAGAGCCAAATTAATAAAAGCACAAATACAAAAAAAAAAATAAAACAGAGGTAAAATGGAATATGATAAAAGATACAAGCAAAAAAGAAAAAGAGGTAAAAGAATATTGAAAAAAAAAAATTTGCATATTCTAATGATCACTATTATGAGCCTGTGAAAGGCTTATAAAAATTAAATACTACTAAATAAAATAGTCTCTACTCTAAATTTATCTATATAGTATAAGAAAGCTCAAAACCAATAGAAAAATACTTTTTTGGCCATAAAACGTAGAGGCCGGTGCTCGATCCAAGTCATAGAATATTGCTTAATCAGATTGTTGCATTTGAGACATGTGCCTTGATGTGTTTGTTGTTCTGTTGTACTGATTTGAGAAGTAAACAATGCTGACTGTTTTGGTACATGTGATATCAATCTTTTGGAGGAGGTAAGCTAAAACACCCACTTTTTACAAAAATTTTCCCCCAAAAAAAATGGTGG